TATATATAAAGATATGTAATTAACACTTACAGTATATGGTGTTGTTGCAGTTCTCCATTTATCAAAATTAGTTGGAGAATGTCCTTGAGGCCAAACATGAAATCTGAAAAAAAAAAAGCAGAGAAACATTAATTGATAATGATAAATTAACACAATTTTACACTTGTTGGTGAAACACCCATCACAGATAGCATCTTTAAGGCTGTATTGTTATTGACTTAGCTCCTCTAAATCAGTTATGTAGTAAATAATATTCTCACCTGAATGTAAACAAACTACCCATATGTAACATAGATAATAGTTCAGATTTAGATTTAGGATATGTTAATCTATATCTTTGTGTTTCAAAAGCTGGAACTATCAATGCCTACAAGAGATAATAGTTCAGATTTAGGATATGTTGATCTATATCTTTGGGTTTCGAAAGCTGGAACTATCAATGCCTACAAAAGATAATAGTTCAGATTTAGGATATGTTAATCTATATCTTTGCGTTTCAAAAGCTGGAACTATCAATGCCTACAAGAGATAATAGTTCAGATTTAGGATATGTTAATCTATATCTTTGTGTTTCAAAAGCTGGAACTATCAATGCCAACAAGAGATAATAGTTCAGATTTAGGATATGTTAATCTATATCTTTGGGTTTCGAAAGCTGGAACTATCAATGCCTACAAGAGATAATAGTTCAGATTTAGATTTAGGATATGTAAATCTATATCTTTGGGTTTCGAAAGCTGGAACTATCAATGACTATAAGAGATAATAGTTCAGATTTAGATTTAGGACATGTAAATCTATATCTTTGGGTTTCGAAAGCTGGAACTATCAATGCCTACAAGAGATAATAGTTCAGATTTAGATTTAGGATATGTAAATCTATATCTTTGGGTTTCGAAAAGCTGGAACTATCAATTCCTACAAGAGATAATAGTTCAGATTTAGATTTAGGATATGTTAATCTATATCTTTGGGTTTCAAAAGCTGGAGCTATCAATGCCTACAAGAGATAATAGTTCAGATTTAGGATATGTTAATCTATATCTTTGGGTTTCGAAAGCTGGAACCATCAATGCCTACAAGAGATAATAGTTCAGATTTAGGATATGTTAATCTATATCTTTGGGTTTCGAAAGCTGGAACTATCAATGCCTACAAAAGATAATAGTTCAGATTTAGGATATGTTAACCTATATCTCTGGGTTTCAATAGCTTAAACTATAATGGTCCAAAAGAGTTTAGATGTAGCAATAGAGAATCATATATTTTGACTTTTAAGCTGAATAATTAAGGATTGAATTAGAGCTGAATTTATGAAACACTTTAACAATTTTCTTACCTTCTTTTGTTCCTTAAGATCCATCATTGGAGCTGCTTTCTTTAAGTATTCATATAAACCAAACATAGGTAGAAAATCTATATCAGATAAATACACATAGGGTGTTCTTACTTGATTTAAGGCCACATTACGTAAATAATTCACTGGAAAAAATTGCTGAAAAACAAGACAACAAAAACAGACATCATCTATTTGCAGGATTTTGAATTTCTGGAAATGAAGCGCCA